GACCATTTCTGGACACTACTTTTTTTCCCTCTTCTTCGTCATCCTCCTGCATTTCATTATTTTTCTTAAATGGTGTTCTCATTTTTAGATCTTATAAACTACTTTGATTTTCTGCTGTAACTCCACATCCCCTTGGAAACACAAATAACCTTTGTTAAATAATAAATCATTCAGTCCCACACGTTGTCTTTCTCACTGCAGAGTGACCTGTTTTTATTATTTAGGCCCATTTCACCTCCCATCAGTAATACAGATGGTCTAAATACAAAAATAATTCCCAGAAAGTCAATAAAACCTCATTATAAACGTGTGTGAGGATTTTGTCTCAGCGTCTCTGTTCTCACATGTCATCTGAAATCGGCCTCTTGGAAATTTTAATGTAAACAACCACCAACATTCAGCACTGCGACTGCAGATCGGGCTGTCGGAGGTGGTGCAGGGTGCAAAAATAAGCACGCTGCAGATATCATGAATTCTGCAGGCATCCTGTGTTACTGGTAGGATAATAATAGATCTCTTAGCTTTATAGCAAGAAAAGGAGATTTCTAGGATAGAGATTCATTTATCATCATCTGAATCGCATGGAAATAATCATTTATGGGATTTTTATGATTTTAAACTTGTGGAGGTTTTTAATGCTCTTTTAGCAAAAGTCAAATTTGAAGCCTTTGTTTTGTGACTAATTAATGTGAAACCTCTTCTGAGCTCTGAGTTTATTCCCTTAACTAAAATCTAAAACCTGTCTTGTAATTGCTGCGATTTCACACTTTAAACTTTATCAGGCAGCGGTGGAATTCAAGGGGCCGACGAAGACTTGTGTTGTTAAGATGAAGAGCGCTGATGTTGACAGAGTAATCAAAGCTTGAGCTTTGTTGTGAGAGTTGTGCGTCTGAGTCGGACTGCAGCGTGAATCATCGTAATTGGCTCTTGTCTCCATGGTGGAGAACAACATCCATTAACGGAGAGGCGTTAGATGGAGGCTGCATTAGTTTGGGTTTAGCTAAGAGTTAGCAGTATAGGAGGAAAACAACAAATGTGCATGATGCTGATGTCCTTTTTTCTTTATTTGGGTGCATTTTGCATAAAGATCAGGCCACTTGCCTCATAAAACACTCCAGCTTCTACTCTTTTTGTGTGTTTGACTCATGTTGGAGGATGAAAAATGCCAAAAAGTACTTTAAATAACAAAATTAGGGCATGAATTTTATGTTTTCATTCCAGTTAATCAATCGTAAACCAAATGTGTGAAAATGTCCTCAATCAAAGCCGATGTATCTCCATCTGCCCGCAATGAGCCGGCGAGGGCTCCATTCATCTCTACATGACATGATTGCAGCATTCATTTACTCACTGAAGCAAAATGACACCGTTTACTTATCCAACTGGACATCGTTACACCGTTCATTCATGTAACACGGAGCCATTACAGCTGAAAGACCTGTTTCCACCTGGGAACATTAAACCTGCTCCAGAATGATTACTCCCTCTCTTCCTCTCATCATAATCCCACAGTAAAGCGCTTTAAAACGAGAACATCCAAACCTGGCTTTTGTTGCTCTGAATAAAATCCTCTCACCTCGGCATTGGTGAGTTCTCATCCTGCTGTTTCTAACAACTCATCTGTTTTTCTAACCAGCTTAGAGATGGAGTGTAATCCGTTTCCTGCTGATACCGCATCGTCATCTAAAGCACTGAAATGTTTGTATTCTTACTAAGAGAAGAGACGTTTATGAATCCTGGTGAATGTAGAAGCCTTTTTATTAAATTTAGGACATGAAACCTAAAATCCACCCTTAGGAAGAGCTTCTGAGAGCCAGAAGACATCGTGTTCTCATGGATGTGAACCACCTGCCTCTGCAGGAACAGACGGTCCTTCTTAAGAATTACAAAACGGCATCACAAAAGCAGTTCAAGTAAAGGTTGCAAGAAATGACAAACAACCTGTTCTAAGTTGGGACAGCAGTAGCTCAGGAGGTAGAGCGGGTTGTCAGTAATCAAAAGGTTGCAGGTTTGATTCCAGCTCCTACCAGAGAATGTTGCTGTTGTGTCCTTGGGCAAGACACTTAGCCCGCCTTGCCTGCTGGTGGTGGTCAGAGGGACTGGTGGTGCCTGTGTATGGCAGGCCTCGCTTCTGTCAGTTTGCCACAGAGCAGCTGTGGCTACACCGTAGCTCATACCCACCAGCGTGTGAATGGGTGAATGACTTATTGTGTTGTGAAGCGCCTTGGGGGTTTTTAAAACTCTAAGAAGGCCATTTTACCAAAAGTTATGCCTATTATAACAAAAGAAAACATTTCGATTCCTGTTTCAGGACATCTCATCTCTGAATGGCTAACGGTAACACGACTCTTCCACTGCCTTCGTTTGCTCTTCTTTCCTGGGTAAAAAATTCAACATTGAAGTTTTTTCCCCACAAATAACACAAGTCTGAATGTGTTCCGCCACATAGAGGAGTTGCTAATGCTAATGGTTAGCTTCTGTTAGCCTTCTGAGCTCTGCTCTCCTTGTGGGTGGCCCCAAGCCAAGGTTGGCAGGAACATGAATACTATTTTCCCCAATGAGTAGAAGAGACCAGATTTTTCTGACCCAATCGTTCCCTGTCTATTTCCTTTCTGTGGCTAATGCAGGCGATGGTGTTTTAAGATTATTTTCACATTCAGCATGCATGTGAAAATCAGGGTTTCTCAGTGACCAACACTTTTAAAGGTGTTACTGCACTTTTATTGACCTCTAATTCAGATATTTTTATGTACAGTAGATATGTCCTTTTGGAACATGATCGAAACGTGGATGTCTTTCCTGCTCAACCTACGTTTACAATCATTTCTGTCACCAGTGAGTTTTTTTTTACTTTAACTGCTCTGCATGAACTTTAAGACTCCTTAGCTGTGGCTTTCTCACCAGAGTGACTTATACGATTATTTCCAAGGTTTTTAGGAGTGTTGTCGGTAGGATCTTGCAACCCCCCATCATTCTTATTAAACCTTGATTCATTCAAGTGACATTTCTTTCACTCCATTGGTTTTATAAGTTAGCAGAAGCTGAAACGAGGCTTCAGTTTCATTGTTGCCCTTTTCTGACACTTGCAGGTCTGGAGGCATTCAACTGTAATGGAGTTGACATTTGTTGGTCTTTTATTCACTCCTAAAGAACCAAAAAGATCTCGTATAGGAGAAAAGATGAGTTCACAGGCAGCTACAAGTGAGACTTGTTTTGTGATTATTTAATTTTTCTTTACGTGATAACTGCAGATTGATGTTGCACTTGAATACTTGAATAATGTCATTATATATATATATATATATATATATATATATATATATATATATATATATATATATATATATGACATCATATATATATATATATATATATATATATGTGTGTGTGTGTGTGTGTGTGTGTGTGTGTGTGTGTGTGTGTGTATGTGTGTGTATGTATATATATATATATATATATATATATATATATATATATATATATATATATATATATGTGTGTGTGTGTGTGTATATATATATAATGTGTGTGTGTGTGTATATATATATAATGTGTGTGTGTTTATATATATATATATATATATATATGTGTGTGTGTATGTATATATGAATGTATGTCTGTATGTATATGTATACATATGTATGTATGCATGTACATATTTGCAGTTTTATTGCTGGCCAGAGCTCTTCTCAGAATGAGATTTTATTGTCAGTGAGACTAAAGGGTTTTATAAGAATAAATTAAGGCTGCTTTCATAATCACTCAGATGATTTGGGTTCATGTTGTTTGGACCAGTCGCTGTACAGTTAGTTTATGATAATGTATCTTCAAAAAACTGGATGAGGTATTTCTATTTAAAAAGCAACATTGGATGAGTTTCCTGCTCCTCTGTCTTACTGGTTGAAAGTGGATTTACAACTTTTGGAAACAACCCTGATGCAGCCTGCTGTAGCTAGCGCTAACAACATGCTAACACAAGCAAACTAATGCTTAATAAGCCACGAAGTTAAAAGATCCACACTGTTGGACAAAAGTCCAGTAGCAACAAAGCTAGGTCACCATCACATCATGATTTCATAGCCTTTTTCTGCTCCCTAAAATAACTGTAGTCCACACTGATGTTTGCTCTGTTTTAGCTCTTTTCTTCACATCCTAAGACATTACTCTCTCGCTTTTACTTCTAGGCTCCACTGTGATGCCAGCAAAGTTCTTCTTTTTCTCCTTTTTATTGACAGCTAGCTTTCATATTAGTCACCACCAGAGTAAACAGCTAACAGCCATAAAGTAGGTAGAGACCTCCTACTGGTCTTACCCTTCTGACAAAACTGCTGATTACAATTTCTGGTCAGCTGCAGAGCGCTGTCCAATGTGAAGTTGCTCAAGAATCAGTGAAACCAGTTTGAAAGCAATAGCTTAAAGCTGCAATGGTAAATCTGCTAATCAAGCTAGATTTAAACACAAACACAGAACTCTCGACCTTCCCGTCGCATTGCCACTGGAAGCGAGAAAGCACAAATACCAGTCACAGTTTTCTAATTCCAAGTCTTTTGTTGTTCGTGACTTCATGGTGAGGACTCTAGTTTGTCCTAAAGTTGAAGTGGCAACAGCCAGCTGTTTCTCCTTCTCTGATATTATTAATCTGAGAACCTCTTACACCAGTGGAGTTCTGATGTGTGAGTGTGTGATGAGTGGAGCACTCGGGGAAGTGTGGCGGTTCAGTGAAACCGATTACTGGACGGTCCAATGGTTGCTTTTGGTTGAAACGCGTTATTAGCTGAGGTTTTTAGACAAATGCGAGAGAACCAGTTCATTAATTTGACTTTTATTTTTTAAGCTCCACAATATATTTATAGCTATTTTTTTAGATATTTGTTTTGAGGCAAGAAAAGGTGTTTTTTGTTTTGCTGATTTGTCATTGCAGCTTTAAATTGTTAAAAACTCTTGTGTTGCTTTAAAAAATGACCCATTTATGTTAGAAAAGGTTTAATTTATGGTAACAGATTTTTTTTGTTTGTTTATCTACAGAGGTGTGCGACAGCGTGTTGGTGTCCAACCTGCCGCCATCATCCTTCAGAAGCTCCTCCCAGCTGTCCAGCAGCCACGCGCCAGGTTTTGCCAAACTTAACCGGAGAGACGGTAAGGAGGAGGTTTTGATGATGAGTGCCAGGAGGGATGAATGTGAAACTGAGTGGGCTTCATATAGAAAATGCTGTAATTGCTCTGAGCTTTGGGGGCCCGTGACGTTGTTCATACTCGTGTTTTTTAAGAGGCGACGTGAGGATTATGAGCTGATTCTGTCCTCTTTGTGGGATCAGAGCCCCACAGAGTGAAAGAAAACATACCAATGAAATTTGTACTGTATTTAGGAAGGTATGGTTCTAACTGGGTTCATTTGAAAGTAACGAGATATTTCGTATTAGAGTAAAAATGGGGTTTAGTAGCCCAGCATGAAAACCAGGACAGAATTAAAATTGTAGTTCTAAATTATCCAGAAGAATGAAAACTCTTTAATTTAATCTGAAATAGAGGATGTTTTTTGTTTGAGTAAATCTTAAAAGTAAAACTTCTTTGATGTGACTCCCGTCTGTTAGTGATGACTGTGTCGAAGCTGCCAGTGCTCTTTTCTGACACCTTGTGCTCCAAAACCGCCTTTCTGTAATAAGGCTGGCATTTCCTGGACTTTCATTAAAGCTTACAGGTGATGTAAGAAGCATACCTGTGCAGCTACAAGCTTATTCATAAAGCACAGGGCCAAAGGGTTCTACTTTAGTGTGGATAATTCAAAAGCACATATTTGGATCTTGATCGGATACCTGCTGATCGGAACATCCGTGAGAGGATGGGGAGTCACTCCAGACTAGGAGGAAGTTTTTGGCTTAAACCGGATCTCACATATCTCTGTGTCATGTTTAGCAATGATGGCAGGATCCACATGTATCGAGGAGGTTTTCTAGTCTGTAAGAAAGGTGGTCCTGAGATTTGGATCATGACCACAAGATGGAGATGGGTGTAAGCCAATAAAGTAAGGCTTGGAGATGATAAGAGGAGCTTTGTCGTCTGGATTCAGAATGTCTCATTTTGTAGGGATCTTCTCTAAGAACAGGAGAGAAGGAACATCTGGGTTTTCCTCTGGGATTTGTTGCCTCCATATCCTGAAGAAGGCTGGATGGAAATCTGCCATCAGAGAAACAGGAATCAACAAAAACTTCCCATTCCATTTTTCATTGCAAGATTAATTTTAAGCCAGGGGTGTCTGTACTTTTGAGCACATCAGCAGTCTTCTAGTGTGAACACAGTCCAAGAGTAAAGTCAAATTAACCAGGGCTGTTCTTCTTTTGAATTCTGCTTCCCACCCGTTGGTTCCCAGCAGGATGTTTGCACTCAGCAGAACTTTCACAAACTGCAAATGCTGAGAAATTTCATACAATTTTTAAAGGATCATACACGATGTGCTGAGTAGAGTCTGGTCTCTCTGGAGGTCCAGGGTACTACCGACAACATAACAGACAACTGTAACCTCAGGGCAACATGCTTCCCCGGAAGGGGTGTGGAAACCTGCCTCACAGCTACAGCCGACAACAGTCAGAGGGCTCTCCCATGGAAACCATGGGGAATTCTGGGAATTCCTGAATAGATTATCAGTGTTTTAAGTCATGCTGCACCTTAACATGTCTATAACCATAATATAAAACCAAACCTATGATGCTCAAAGATAATAACTTGGCTTCATAAGGGATGAGGAATATTTATGTTTCAACACAGAGTCTGATGTGTTCTTCCAGGGCTGGAAATGGATTCATGTGGTTCCTAAAGGTCCACAACCCCTGGATCAAGCACTAGCACTGATCCGTGCACAGACAGAATAAAAATACACTGTTTTATTCCCACTGGTCTGCAGGGTAATTGTTCAGTTATCTTCCCAGCTTCCTGCTATAGTGAGAATATGTCCCTAACTGAAAGGGGTGTCAGGGAGAGTATAACGGGCACAACTCAATCTTGATCACTCCTTTATTGACGTTCGACAAGACAAGATACAACATACGCTCCATCGTAGCGGCCCGAGGTCTCGCCACCCCTTTTTTAGCACAACAGTTGTGTCCTTGATTCACGTCTTAAATTAGCTTTAATAGCGATTATTGGAAGCGACTAGTGATTAGGTTGTAAACCTGCAATGAAACGCACAGACACACAGGCACACATATTAACAAAAGAAATCACTAACTAACAATATAACCGACTATCGTACTCACCGGCGCTGCATCGCAACCCTGACCATCAGACGACTAACGAAACCTAGGCTCTGTGCATGCGCACTAAAGTTGGGCAAGCCAATATGAGCAGTAAATATTTACATCATGTACAAACTTATAACACATTTCACCGTATATAATTAACCTGAACTCAAACGAATGATAAATAATCAATCATAACAAATTACGGTTTGGCATACAAAATGCTACGAAAGGCACTACCCCGGCAACACACACATATAATTATGATGCTTTCACAGGAAAGCTCTACAGAATTCATTATAAAATTTACAGTAAAATTAGAAATTACTTGCATAACAATCATGTTTGTGTCGCACATCTGAACTTCCTGCCATGTTTTGTTGTGTTTGTGAAAACCCCTGTTGTTGGCCGGGCACCACTGGATTAGGGGAAAAGCACAAGCAGTCTTTTACCTCAGTTTACTGGACATAAAAAGCCTAATTTGTGGAAAAAGTGCCGAAACAGTTTGATGCTAAATATGTCTGGAAACACTTTAATACATGAAGAAAAAAATAACAACAAAGTAATGCTGCACAGTGCTGAAGGCACTTTTTCCTTTTCACTTCTTAAAACTCAGCAGTTTTTAAACGTTTTTGTTCTCCAGACTTGATGTAGCTGATCATAGTGGAGGTGTGAGGACTGTAAAAGATCCAGAAACACACCAGAAGCCCTGATGGTCCATCGATTTGCCGTTTGTAGAACCCCGAGGATTAATTTAACTTATTCATTTACTTTACTTCTCTAGTTCTTTCCCTTTTCTCGTCCCCTCCTTTACTCAATTTTAATTTCCTTTCCCCCAAATCTTCCTCCTTCTTTTCCTTCTCTCATGTGTCTGTAGCACCAACTAATTTCGTCGACTCGTCGTTTTTGCCAGACGTTCTTCATGTTTAAACATTTTTTTTCTTCTGTGGGCTGAGCTGACACTTATCAGTGATGCTACAGCAATTACACTGGAATATGGCCTGAAAAGAAGTGCTGCGCCAGAGTAATGGCTTCCTCGCTGATGTTTGAAGGCTGAATTAAACTTTAATTGAAGTCTGTATATTAGGACAGTGTAAGAACAGCCATCTAATCAGCTGTTGATGTTCATATTCAGTTGTTCTCTGTGACCTTAAAGCAGGAGCAGCAGTAGCTCAGGAGGGGACCAATCCCAGCTCCCATCAGGGTATGCTGCTGTTGTGTCCTTGGGCAAGACACTTGACCCAACTTGCCAGTGTTGGTGGTGGTCATGGAGGCAGATGGCGTAAATGGTAGCCTCGCCTCTGTCAGACCGCTACGGGGTGGCTGTGGCTACATAGTAGTAGTAGTAATAGAAAGCGCTTTGGGTGCCTTGAAAAGACGAGGTGCTGACGTGCTTCTAGTCTAAATAAGTGGAATAAATAAACAGGTAATACAACAAATTAATTAGCAGCAAAACATCGAGTCAGCACTGATTTTATCACCAATGAAATCAGGTCAGTTTCCAGTCCAACAGGAAATCAGGTTTGTGAAAAACAATTTCCAAAGGTGCCATCAATTTGTCTTTTAGTTTAAACGAAAATTACGTAGCCTATTTTATCTTAATTAATGTGCTGAGTATTTTATTTTGAAAAGTTTCTATATTGGGTTAACTTTGTGATGCTGATGTTATCTATTAGGTTTGACAAAAGGAGTGAAATACGCCATATGATAAACTTTTCTAGTAGAGTTAATAAGACCCTCTACACACGTAGCCAGGCATCCCACAAAACAAAGATATCTTCTACAGTTTGGCCTGTTGTCCACACGGAGGAGAAGATCTACGGCATCAAAAACGATTATCTCAAAAATTCCAACCAAAGTGGAGATGTCAGCATTTGCTTTTGGACAGAAATAACCAGGGTTTTAGGTTTCATCACCACATCCCACACAGAAGCTCTGATGTCACATGTGTGACCTGTGTTTACACCCTCTTGTTTTTACTAGCTCAGGTACTGAGGAAGACCACGGGCGAAGGACGATGCTAACATTAACGGTTATTGCTCCCCACCTAGTTATCCCAAGCAATGTTTTTCAGCAAAGATGCGGTAGAAGGTCCAAAGAGCCTGAGTTAAGCTGTGACATCAGAAGAGGAACTGTGAAACAGTCAAAGTTTTTGTTATTGCTTGTTCAAGTTTAAATCAAATAGAATATATAGCACATTAATTATCTTTGGGCTGCATGGTGGCGCAGTTGTTAGCACTGTTGCCTCTTAGCACGAAAGTTGAAGGTTCGAAACTTGGCTGCGACCTTTCTGCGTGGAGTTGCGTGTTCTCCCCATGCTGCGTGGGTTTCCTCCAGGTACTCCGGTTTCCCCCACAGATCACAACATGCCCTATAGGTTATAAATTGTAAGTTGCTTTGGATAAAAGCGTCTGCCAAATAAATAAACATAAACATAAATATATAATGATAATAATAAGTTTGTGTTTAACAGTGATGTTAGAGCTAAAAGGCAGAATAGATTTTATTTTTATTTTTATGTCGTTGCATCAGAGTTTCATGTTAAGTAGCCTCTGTCCCACATTTGGTGAGTTGGGATCTAGTTATCCTACCTCGGAATGATTATAGTTATTTGGAATATTTTCTGATGTTTTCATGTTTGGTATTCTGTGAATCAGTCTCATATAATAATTGTTAATTATTATATGATGATCCCTAATCATTTTCTGAACAATTCTGTCTGTTTATTGTATTTTTTAGTTCTTGTGAACAGTATGACTGGTAGAAAATTGCTTGTATTTTGCCAAATATCACATAAAAGATGTTTTAAAAATTATTCTAAATAAAATCACAGCATGTAAAGGTCTGAGGTCACCATAAACTATGGGATTAGATTTGTGCCAATAGGATCAAGAAAAACACTTT